AGGCGACAGTGGCATCAGAAGCGCAGTCTGAGTATAGTTGTCTCCATCCTCGCCGTCCACCAAAGCCGATGACAGTCCCCGCTCCGAACACAAACTAGAACGAGCGCAATCGCTCTCTTCCTGATCTTCCCCCGCGTTTCGCAATGCCGCAAGTTCATGCGCCGGAAGCGAGCTCAACGAAAGCGCTAGTCGCCTCCGGTTGCGACCCGTGCCCGGACCTTCACTTTCGATGTCATTCTGCACGAGTATATCATCGGGAACCGGTGCTTCAGCTGAACCCGACGGTGACGGCAGGCCTTGCGTCCCTGCGGACAAAGCACTTGTGGGCGAAGGGGGGTCTAGTGACACATGCAGAGGCGGAAAGAGAAACGCGCCACCGCCCGCCCTGGATGTAGGAGGGGAAACGGGCGAATCGAATTCGGTGCGATTGATCACACACAGCTGGCGGCCCAGCTTCAACTTTTTCCTGCGCATCGGCGCGTCTCCACCAGAAGCACGGCGTTGCAGCATGGGCCCAGATGACGTGGAATCGATCGACGAGGACACAGATGACGTCACGCTCGTAGTCGTGGCTGCCCTGTGCACCGACGGCGGGGGGCGCGGCAAGGGTCGCGGAGCCCGTTTTGAATCGAACACGAAGCCAGGATCGGTGTTATGTTGCTCGTAAGACGGCGGTGGAATCTGTAGAAAGAGCTGATCGCCGTCCGCCAATGAAGCATCGTGCAGATCATAAAAAGAGTGCATCTCCGACTGTGGATGGGGCAGGACACAACGAGGGAGCGGCGTTTCGGGAAAGGATAATCCCATCCGTTGTGGTAGTCAGTAAGTATAAGGCCCCGAGAGTCGTTCAGCAAAACCAAGGGGACGCGGGTAGTAGGAGGCTTGGCGAGCGCCCGCCACTAGCCAGCCGATCACACAGAATGCCAATTGTCGTCTCTCAGTCACACCACGTCCTCCTCCAACGTCACGGTCGGACAGAGGCCGAGGACATACCGATCCACTCACTGGCTTCGATATGGTCAGAGGGCTAGAATAAGGTGAAAAGCGTACCAAGTACGCTTGCGAGCGCCTTTCGACGCATAGCCGCGTCAAGAACTGCCATCTAGTAGGTTTGAGTGCAGGGACCTGCTATAGTGGGGTCCCGTGAATACAATATTGTCAGTAAGGTTGTCTTCTAAATATGTAATTGTAGCATTGGGCATCTCGTCAGATCTCGTCCTCATCCTCATTGACATGATGATGATCCATCTCATCTCAAGTGTGGATAGTCGTGGATGACGTCATCACCATTGCCCTAAACCGTTAGTACTTGTGACCTGTGTTCTGTTCTCCCTCGTCAAAGGCTACACTTGCCAGCAAGTGAATTATTCTTAAAAGTGATACTTGACGATATAACTCCCCAAAAGCGTCTTCTGACAGTCATCTCGCTGCCGACGTTTGGCAGTTGTGGAAAGCGTTGGGCTTCCCATCTTTGACTAACCATGCTGTTCTCTACCACCGTGGTCACTTGCTGTGTGCTGAGTGCATGGCTCTCGGGGACAGTTGCCACTTCGTATGACCAAGCTCCCATGCTCGCATCGAGCCCACTGTGTGCGTACGCATCTATGAGCGCGGTCAAGACTGTTTCCCAACATTCCACCAGGGGCCAATTCGGAAGAACTGCGCTTGGTTCAGCTCTTCCCTGGTGATGAGGAGGCCACCTGGATGACCGAGAGGGACAAACTGCTGGCGAAAGCCCAAGGACTGGCGTACTTCGACATGTAAGGCTTGCCTAGGGCTGCTCGCTATGACCGAACGACTACTAAGACCCATTACTTCTGACAGCACTCACACCCCAGAAGATTTCGGCCGCGTTTTCAACAAGACTCGCTTCACGTACTCGCCCCCGAACTCAACGCTCGTGGCCGACATGCTGCCGCTCCTCTCCACGGACGAGATGCAGAACAACCTCGAGCACTTCACGACTGCCTTCCCCACGCGGTATTACAACTCCGACAGCGGGAGGGCGAGCTCGGAATGGTTGCTGGCCAAGATACAGAGCTACACGACAACGTTGGGCAGTCACGAGCTGCAGGAACTGATCTCGATCACGCCCATCCAGCATCCGTGGAAGCAGAACTCGATCGTCAGTCACGCCCAAGTACTTATAATCACCTGGTGCTGAGCTCAATTTTTGCGATCCAGATCATCCGCATCGCGCCTAAAGATGCTCAAGAGACTGATCCCATCACAGTCCTCGGCGCCCACTGTGACAGCATCAACCACGAGAACCCGTTTTTCCCTGCCCCAGGCGCAGACGATGACGGTTCCGGCACTATGACTATTCTGGAGGCCTTCCGGGGTCTGTCTTTCCCGCTTGCTTCCCTCCCTTTGGAGCATTCTTTACATCTAGGCAGGGTTGCTGAAGAGCAACTACATTCCCTCTTCTCCCGTCGAGTTCCATTTCTATTCGGCAGAAGAGGTGCGTGCTCATCTTGAACCGGAAGAACTTTACTTGAACTCCCAAGGGCGGAGGACTCGGCTCGCTGGCCGTAGTCGCGGCGTATGAAGCAGCGAAGAAAGAGATCAAAGGGATGATCCAGTTCGATATGACTGTTCGCGATTTTTCCATCGCTCCCAGCTTCTGATCGCAGAACGTAAGCAGGCGTGGCTTGAATCGGGATCGCAAGAGAGGGTCAACGTGCTCTCGAATGCCGTCGACCCGAAATTATCTGAATTTGTGACCCAGCTCGTGGATCGTTACCGTGGGTCGTTTGGTTGCTCGGGCCATATCCTCTTTGAGAATCCGACCCTTCGCAGTTGATATTCCCTGGGTAAGTGAGGCCCTGCCGGGCGGCGCAGGAAGCGATCACATGCCCTGGACATGGGCAGGATACCAAGCGTCCTGCGGAACTGAAGGCCGCGCGGTCAACTTTAATCCTCGTGGGATTTCTCGCTCCTTTGATGAGTGTTTAACTGACGGCGACACTTAGACATCCACACGATCCAGGACAGCATCCATGTGTCACACGAATTCTCTTACTCGCACATGCTTCAGTGCGTCCCTTCCATCAGTTCTCGCTCCCAATTTGAGCTCACCTCTCGTCAGCTTCTCGAAATTGGCTCTCGCGTTCGCTGTTGAACTCTCCAGTTGAGGCTTCTTAGCAATCCATTTCGGCAATTCATTCCATTGTGATCTCGTAACAAAATTGTGTTCGTAAAAATACATCGCTGGGTTCCCGGTCTAGGTAGGAGGGAGGTATCGCTTGAGTTCAATTGATAATTCTGCACAGTTGGTAAGCTTCCTGTCTGAGATCGGGTGAATGAATGAATGCGACGAACCATGGGGTATCAGATGGTACAATGGGTATACTTCACGATCGCTCGTGGACATAGATAGCCGGGCCGCTCAGTCCGCAGTGCTCCTCAAGGGTGGCGGCTAAAAAAAGAAAAACAGAATCAGGATCCGTGCGTTGACAGGCGACGAGGTCGGGGAATGCTCACCGACGGAAGCTCCGGCGCCGACTCTTTTCAGCCAGATGGAATGCATCAGAGCCGTGCACGGCTGATCTGAAGAGAGAAATACCATGTCAGATCGCTGTCTTGTATCAAGGGAATGAGAAATATGCGCACGGAATAGGCTGTTGTTGTTGTTCCTGGCTGGACAGAACGACGGAATCTGCAGCTTGAGCCGCACTGGTGCTGACGGCGGACGTCTCGGAAAAGGGGGCTTCGAGTGTCACTGGAGCTGCTGCCGCCATGGAAGAGAAGGCAAGAGCGATGGCGAGGAGAGTGGAGGAGCAACGCATGGTCGGATATGTTGTGTGTGTGACTCGAAGAGCTGTATGTCGCTGGGAGGATGTGCTGCTGCTGCTACTGCTGCTGCGAAGTGAGGCAATACCCATCAAGCACCCAGTCCTTTTGTACAAGTTCCCAAAGCTGCATCAGTCATTAATAAAACGCGCAGTGCTCCGATTCCTGGCCCGCGGGAAGGACGCTTCTAGAACGGATGACCGACTAGTCAGGCAGCTAGCAGCAATCGCTTCCATGGGATCCAGGCCGAGAGAAGTAACGCCGCTGCTATTCCGCGGTTCAGCGCAAACCTCGGCGTGGGTCATTTCGTACATGCCGTTGTGCTCGTGGCGGGAAGCCAGGAAGCAACCGTGGGAACTCTCGCGTTGCGCCCCCATCATTCCTGCCCAAATGGGTGTGTTTCCCTCCGCCAACATCGCAGGCTCGTCTCTCGGATTTCTAAGCCATTGGAAGGGAGTGTGGGTGTCTTCCTTTCATGTCCCGACGCGCGCGAGAGCCCCACCGTCCAGAAGCCAAACACACGTTTAAAATCTTGGTGCTCTGTAGCTTCTTTTCCAGGCCATGTTCACCCACTCTAGCTCACATTCAAATTTCCTCGTCTGTTCCTGAGCCACGCTGAGGGCCTAGAAAAATTCGATCGTTCTAAGTTCCTGGAAGGCAGAGCTCAAAGGTTATCATACACACGCGCAATACAAATCGGCCACCCTGCTTCCTGACATCCAATATCAGCGACAGAACTCTGCGCTTGCAGTAGACTGACTGTATTGCACTAGACTTCCAGCAGCAACATATCAGAGCACATACCTGTCCTTCAACCTTCTGCCGTGTCCGATGGATGGGACCAACCACCATCACCGCAGTCATTCATTCATTCAGCCATTCAGGGTCTTGTGGAGAGAGCTCGCTGACACCGAGAATCCAGGAGCACTTCGATTTCCGACAGCCCCCGATGGATTGCAGCTCCGAGTCTGTAGCAACCATCTTCGCACAAGAACGCACGCCAGGCCCAAGGTCCGAGCAGTCCCTATCCTTTTTTCAACCGCCGCCCCCGACCGGGCTCGGAGGCTGCGCTCTCTCCATGGCTTTGCCCAACGAGTGAGTGAATGAGTGTAGTCCGACGGAACCAGGTCCCAGTAAACAGCAAGCAACCAAGGGTATGATATGTTCCCCTCACGCTCTTCTGTGTAGAACAAGAAAATGGTTACTATCAGCGCAGCAAGTCACGCGGAGCCGGCGTCCGGGATTCCGTCAGGCTCGGGATCACAAAAGAAGTGGTTGCCCAACATGGGGTATGTATGTAAGGCGGCCTGGAACGCAACGCAACGCAACGAGTGATTAGAAAGTAAACGACGTGCGGTCTGACAGGAATAAGACAAAACTAGATTTTAGCTCGTCTCAGAGAATTAGTACATTACGGTAGAATATCCAAGTTGCATGGGCGCACGCTAGCACGCGTCGTGGTTCTTCAGAGGATTGCGCCGAAGCGCATCGGACTCAGAGGTGGGAGGGTCTCTCGTGTCTGCTGCGATCTTGACTTTCATGACCGATTCCGGCGCCGGCGTACTCAACGCAGTGACAGTCTAGCAAGACTCAGCCGAGCTGAAGCCAAGCCAAGGCACGGTACGCACCTCATCTTGGAATGGCACAAACTTGGGCGTCGAATCCACGGACACCGCTATCGTGCTCTTGACTGGAAGCGATGGCGCGGGCATCGCGTCCTCCTCCGTGTCCACGTAAGGCACGAAACTCGACGTTGCAGCGCCTCCAGACGCCAACCGCTTCTTCTTCCCTGCCTGCTTTATCGTCGTGCCAGCCATCTTCCGCGTCTCAGGCACGTTCTCTTTCACACGCGTCTTACGTGTCCCGACATCCGGAAACGCGTTGCCTGGCGCAGCGGACGCAGTGGACGCGGAGTCCTCAAATATCTGAAACGGGGCATTCGTTGCGGCGGAAGGCGGGCGCTGTGCGGCGGGCAGAGGGGTTCTTGATGAGCCGGAGGCCGCGGCCAGTGCCGACGACGAGGAGCTGCTGGTGCCTAGCACAGTCCGCGCCGAGCGGTGCGGGCCAGGGGTATTCACAGCCGGCTCAACCGGGGTTGCAGGTGCAACCACGCTCATCATGCGCTTTTGGAACTCGGCATGTCGCGCTTTGAGGTGGTCGACGTCGGTGGCACGTCTGGCGATGCCGAGCTGATACATGGCGTCGGCCTCCTTGCGTCTACGGGGTGCTCAGCAAACGCGACACGGATTACCTGCCAGGCACACGCACCTCCCCTCCTGCTCCAGTACAGCCGCATACTCCTCGTACAGCAGCGCAAAGCCCGTCCCGATCTCGTTGGCGATCAAGAACTCGAAGATGATCGTGGGCTTCTCCACGTAGCTCGTATACAGCATCCACAGCTTCAGGTATTTGAGTTCTCCGCGCCAGTGGCCCTCCCGGTGGTCCTTCAATACGCGCGTCGCCTCTTCGATGAGTTCCACCAGCCCCGATTCAGCGCTCTGTCCGTGCGGGTAGTTGTCCAGCGTCCAGTTGACGTAGCGCCAGTAGGCCGCGAGTGGGTCGTCTTCGTCGTCCTCCAGAGCGATCTCGACATTGATGCGCAGCCTGTTGCGCGTCGCGGCGAGCTTCGAGTCTCTCTGCGCGTGTGGAGTCGCGAGGATATCCGACAGAGCGGTGGCACGGCGGCCCGAGGCCAAGCGCTGGACGTTTTCCTTCGAGGCCTCGAGGACGTCAAAGTCGACGATTCTGGGTGCGTCGCTGAATACGTCCGCGGTGTCAGTGGCCATTGTTGTGGGGTAAGTAAAAAGAAGCGACGGAGGATTGTCTCGAACATCACATGGTCGTGACACCGCGCGCGATCATGTGACATCAATGTTGGCAGGGCTTGTCAATCGTTCGAGTGATGACGCGCCTGTGTCGATGTCGATCCGCTCGTGATTATGTCCCATCTGGTTCGATGCACTTATTTTCTTCTTCTCCTTCAGGCGAATATTTGCCAGAGTGATCGATCCCAAGCTGTGGAAGCTTGGCGTCAGATCTTAAACTCGTCCCTCGGTGCCGATGTACATATCTTTCAGCGGAACTATCGTCGACGTTGGTGAGAGACCATGGCTAATGTTCCTCTAAAAATATGCCCGACTTTCCGCCGATCACACCGGGCGGCCGCGGGCGCCTATTCCTGCACCCTGTTGACCAGATGCTTGCTGAATCCGAACTCGAAGCGAAGCCGCCGGGGGTGACCCTGGCAGAAGACCTTATCAGCAGACCAGCCGTATAAAATACGCCTCCACCGCTCCAATCCTCTCCCCAGCGTCCCGCGAAATGCTCGCCCTGTCCCTGCTCGCCCTGGTCTCGCTCGCCGCCTCGCTGCCTGCACCGCAATCCAATGCCGGAGCCGGTGCTAAAGCCGATCCCAACACGGAGATGTGGCACGCGGGCTCGAAGATCATCCCGCAGCCCATCCGAGGCGCGCTCGGCGGCACGATTCTCGGCCCGCAGAACGTCCCCGTCGAGCTGCAGAATGCGGACTCGCTGGCGTCGCCGACGACCGATTCCGGGCAGCTGCCTAATATGAAGTGGCCCTTTGCGATGAGCCGTACGCGGCTGAACGACGGGGGATGGGCGAGGCAGCAGAACGGTAGGCTAAATCGCCCTTTCGTATTCTCGCCTCATCTGCCCCAGTGGACTCGTTGCCGATCGCGACTGCCTTAGCAGGTTCGTGTGTTCTGTTGGATCGAAGATCACTGGGCCTCGCGAATGACTCGTTCTGCAGGTGTCAACATGCGATTGGAACCTGGAGCTATCCGGTAAGCCATCAATTTCTGCTCGGATCCACAAGGACGAAAGATTCTAGAGAGTTGCACTGGCATGACGTTGCCGAGGTTAGTCGCATCCAGTCGGGCTAAATCTCATCACTCATGCTCGTTCAAAAGTGGGCCTATGTCCTTAAAGTTGGTGATCCCATCACGTCGTGCTTTGGCTCGTGTTCAATCAACTTCGTCAGGGACACATCCGGATCAGTACACTGACTCCCGAGGGAGAGATATATGTAGGCGACGTGGTAAGCAAGTTTTCTGCCCATCCAACAGAAATCTTAAAGCTCAACCACACATAAATCACAGTCAGAGGGCGACATCTGGTATTTCCCGGCCGGCAACCCGCACTCGCTCCAGGCAAAGAACACCACCGCAGACGGCGCCGAATTTCTGCTCGTCTTCGACTCGGGTCGCTTCACCGAGGACAACACGTTCCTACTGACCGACTGGCTCGCGCACGTGCCCAAAGGCGTGCTGGCGCAGAACTTCGGACAGCCGGTCAGCGCGTTCGACCGCATCCCGGAGAAGCAGTTGTATATCTTCCAGTGTGAGCGCTGGTGCCGACTCCTCTGAATCTGGGTACTGACACATCGAAGCTTCGCCGCCTCCTGAAGACATCGACGAGGACAGGGTCATCCCCAACAACACGCCGAACCCCTACACCTACGCCCTCTCGAAAGTCCAAGGCGAAAAGAAGCCCGGCGGATCAGTCAAAGTCGTCGACTCGCGAAACTTCAAGGTTGCGACACAGATCAGTGCGGCGGAGGTGACTGTGGATGTCGGGGGCATGAGGTCCAGTCGCCCCTTCTCATTACCCCGCTCCCGAAGCTAATTGTCCTCACTGCAGGGAACTTCACGTCAGTCGCAGTGCAGCCTCTAATCTTCAAGTTCTCGGGCTCATTTGTTCCAGTGGCACCCGACGCAGCCTGAATGGTCGTTCATAATGTCGGTCCGGGACTGATCGGATCACAGGCTCTTTGCTGACCTGCCTCATCTTCGCAATTCGCAGAAGCGGACAAGCTCGGATGACCGTCTTTGCGGGATCATCGCAGGCCCGGACGTTTGATCTCGAAGTTCGTCAGTTTCTCGACCCCTGTCGCCCAGTCCGCTGACATCGATGGCAGGCGGGAGATGTGGGCTATGTCCCACCCTCCTTCGGTACGTGCTCGATCTGATCCACTGGAGATTGATCCATCGACACACACTCGTCACGCAGGTCACTACTTGGTCAACACAGGGAATACTCCGCTCAAGTCAGTAGCCGAGTTGCTCAACCATGACGATGATATCGGACTCATCAGCTGATTGATTCCAGGTTCCTCGAGATATTCAAGACCGACATATTCCAGGACATCTCCTTGACCCAGTGGCTAGCGCTCACCCCCGCCCAACTCGTCAAGGCGCACGTAGGATTCTCTGACGAGATGATCGCCAGTCTCAGCCGCGAGAAGCTGGAAGTGGTGTAGCGACGCAGAGCGCTTGCATTGAGAATCATGAGACATTCCTAAAACTACATTGCATTACTTGATGTAGGACATTAGAGGACGTAGCGGAAATTGGGAGCCTGTGCCATCTGAGCATCTCCGCGAGACGAATGTCGAGTGGGGAGCACATACCTTGTCGGCCAATTCCCTGGTATCGACTTTCGAGTTGGGCTCGGGTTTGCCGTACAATCTGTCTCGCTCGGCGTTCTCGAGGCGATATGACATCTAAGCCGGGTGTCAGTTCCCGAAGCTCGAAGGTATGATGGATCGAGCGCACCGAGAGAACGAGCGAAAGCACGCCTGCGAGGAAGGCCAGAGCGCAAGACACACCGAAGCCTTGCCTGGTGACAGATCAGATGGAAGGGCTTTCGAGATAGGCTGTGCCGGACTCACAGATACCGCGGCGACTGGTTCAGCGGGAACAAATGGGACCCCAGGATACTGCCGCATTGGCCAATGGCCATGAACATCGGGATGCCCGTAGCACGCTTAGTCTCGGAGCCAAGGTTGTGCGCGACTGTGCCCAACAGAGAAAGATCAGTCATTTCCCGAAACAGGAGGTGCCAAGCAGCGCAGAAGCAACGTACACCACGCGATCGTCAGCCTGAGAACACGTCATCAGCGGGCTACGCGCGCCAGGTCGGGAAAGGGACATACCCGATGGTTGTGTAGGTCCCGGCGACGATGCAGAACACGGCGAAGTAGCGTGCGTGGACGTTGATCACAGTGAGGAGGATGCTGGGGAGGGTTTGAGGCTCTGAGAGTACCAGGTGGGATCCGACGTACACGTATCCGATGCCTGAGATGAAGCACGACGCAGCCATGAAAACGCCGCGCACTTGCAGGCGGTCCGACGCATAGGAGAAGATGATCAACATCACTGCTGCACAGGCATAGGGCGGCACCGTGAACAGCTGGGCGTTCGCATTGGCTGATGCGCGCGCGCAACGTCAGCACTTGATGATAAACAGAGCGGGAAGGGGGACTGACTGTAGCCAAAGGTCTTGATGATGGTCGGCAAGAACGCAGAAATCGATGCGAGCGCCGTGTTGAGACCGAAATAGATGGCTCCACCCGCGTAGACCTGGCGATTCGTTCAGCACGGCGCAGTTTGCTTCGGCAGCGGTCGATCTTACCCGCCAGTCCAAGAGTGCCATAATAATGTGACCTATGACGTGAGTGAGTGACGCGGATCGTTCTATTGATAGAGCCATCTCCTACCTTTGTTGACAACGGCTCCAGAGTCTCCACTGGTAGATCGATTCATGCGGTTGAGCGCAATGGCACGTTCGCGTTCGTTGAAAAAGGTTGTCGATTCAGGCCGGTTAGGGAGGAACATGACCGTCACAACCGCCAGAACAAGCGGGGGAAGACCCTGGAAGGCGAACGTCAGCCCGGCTCAAAGCGAACAGCTAGCTAGTTGCGAGGGGTGTGCACGCACCTCGATGATGAACAGCAGGCGCCAATTGTGGAGGGCCGCATGAGCATGAGACACGCCGAACGCGATCAGACCGCCGAACGCGCCGGCCACCGCGGCGAAGCCGAACCAGTAGGCCATCTGCCAGACTTGCGGTCAGGAACGCCCACGGTGCGCCACCCGACGATGACTCACCCGAACACCCATCTCCTCCTTGGTATAGAAGAACGCTGCAGCACACGCGTCAGTCGACGGAATGCGGATCACCCAGCCGCGCGACATACAAAAGTAGACCGGGATCATGGGTCCGAACCCAGCTTCAAAAATACCCAGGAACACGCGAGCGACCACGAGACCAGGCAGGTTGAAGGCCGTGGACTGCAACCATCATGAGCCCGCGATCCCGTGGAAATGCGCGTGTTTCGTACCATCAGAGTCGAGCTGATGCCCCAGCCAACGGCGACACACGCCAGCCAGATGCGCGGCGGGAACAGCTTCGAGACGACCGTGGCCGGAACTTGACATAAGATCTGCGTGATCCGGCGGTCAGCGACGGGCGGATCGGAGAACACCGGTGTCGGGGCGTACGTAGGAGAAGAAAAACGCGGAGTTGACCCAGTCGAAGAGTTTGCCGGTCGGGTCGCCGTGCAGCGTGTCGGCGGGCATCCCCTGTAGCCGCGCATTTCCCAGGTTCGAGCGGTCGAGATCTAGTAGGACGATCCAGTGAGTACAGCGCCGTCTGGTACGGAAAAAGGGATCGGACGCACACGCAAAAAGATACAGCAGGCAGGTGATGGGCAGGATCCTCAAGTCGAGTCGGCGCACCAGTCGGCGCTCCTCCTGCGGGTCGATGTCGAGGACAGAGGCAGAGCGCGAGCCGTGCTCGATCTGAGCCTCCAGCTGCTTCTCGTCGATGGTCTTTTCGTGCGACATGGAGGTGGGGTCGTTGGAGAGCGAGAAAAAATCCAGCTGCCATGAGAGGAGTTACTCCGGCCCACTTTATAGGTCGGGACCCACCGCTCAGCGGGGATAAGTTGGTTACAAAAATGAATAACAAGCCGGATAAAAATAACCCAAACTGATGAGCCAGGTCATGGGGTCGGCTTACGGCCGGCTGTTCTCACGCGCATGTCTAATGCTGTAAGAACAAGAGGTCCCCGCCCCTCGCACACCCCGGCAGCACGCCTCTCGATAAGCGCTCCCTAGCTGGACTCATGGCTTGGACCACCGATCGCACGCGTCAAACAGGCAGGCTTCCGAGCTTCGAAGATATGCACTGATGTTCTGTAAGTCTATGCGGAGTCGCTGAGTGGTCGATCGCTGTCCAATCTAGATGAGCGTATGAGAATAGAAGTCACAATCGAGAATGTGGGGAATTGGGGTAGAGCACCAGACGACAGGTGGCAATGATGGCTAGTTTCAATGACGGCCCGGCCTCAGGGCTTTGCCGACGTCACTCGTGACTTCATGTGGGGGGTCATTTTTTCTACATTATCACCGAGCGTGGCGAACAAATCCTGCACTGCAGCTGTTCTTTGGTGGCTTTTAGATCCCCCTGAAGTCCTCAGACTCGATCAAGACACAAAAAAAGCCGATCGGAGGCATCCGGAGCCATATTGAGCAAGTCTCCTCTATTTTCCTCCAGGAACCGGTTTGCCCGGAGTTATCCCCGCAACCGCGGCGTTTACGTTCTCTCGTGTTCAAGTCATGGCTGCCCTGGAGTTCCGTTCCGTTTGTCACTTGATCACCTGACCGGGCTCCGCACTCGTCAGAAACCTGATATCGCAGATATCAGCGCTGTTGGTGTGAGCGGTAGTTTTGCATGATAGATATTCAGATGATACATACCGTGCACGCACGGATGACTAAGGTCGACGACAAAGGACATGGTCTGTTTTAGGAAAGGATGATCGTGATGCAGAGTCGGGGTCTCAGTGTCACATTGTTACGGTGTCATAGTCATGTCATCACGTCTGCATAACATGACCGTGCCGTCACGTGTTCCAGTAGACACGACGCGTTCCCTGATTCGGGATGCGCACGGACGCGTTCTAACTGATAATATTGGCTCGATACTGGTGGAGGTGCGTGGAAAATATCAAAATAAAAGAGTAAATCGAAAGAGGAAGAAGTGGAAGAGGGGATGAAATCGGAACAGTTTGCCCCGATCACAGTCGATGTCGGAAGCGTCGGCGTTTGGATGCCGGCGGCACAGCAACCACGTGTTAGCAAAAAAAAAAGTGCTGTGATCTGTTCCTCGAGCTCAGAGGCCACTAACACTTGTTCTATTTTTCACAATAACTCCTTAGAATGGCACTAGAAAAATTACATGATTTTCCCTCTGGCAGGAGGCTCATCACAAGTGCCTTATGTTATCTAGCGGAGTTTGAAGCTACCTCGCGGATCAGAAGCACCAAATTAGAGGACATAGTCTGCAATATAATTGCCCTGCCGAATCTCTGATTTCAGCCGTTTTTTCGCATATCGGTCCGTCAGAACTGACCGTAAATGAAATATTTTTGAGACATCGACAGCAGATTGGTCTGGTCGTACCTCCACTTGCACCTCCTCCGAGGCCAGGAGCTATATACTGAGTTCATATTTCAAGACAAGGGCAGGGGATTTCCCCTGAAAGCGGCGCAAGCCGAAGGGCTCGAGCGCGCCGCCATCAACGACGAGCACGCTTATGACGTCGGGAACGGTCATCAGAGGCTTCCAATAAGCATATACACGTCTCGAGTCACGGAGTGCCAGGACCCCAGCACACCGATCGATCTATCAGTCGAAACAGACCATGTCCTTTGTCGTCGACCTTAGGATGACGGGACGGTACGGCCGTTAACAAGTCGCCGACACTGATTCGTATGCCTGATAGACCACCGCCAATCAGATCAGAGTCTCGCTTCGATCGCGTACCACTTCAGTCACCTGATCGCGTCAGACGGCGGAAATGCAGCGCTGAATTCAATTTTATTCTGCGTGCATTCTCACTGGCGGCGGGGACTCTTCTGCTCCCGAAACCGGGTGAATTATTGCACCCAATCCTTCGCGTCCACCCAGCAAGAAAGCTGCAGCGGGGACAACCGCGATGTTGTCCATTGTCCAGCGGGGCACGCGTCTCGGCAATGACCCTGGCATGCCGCGAGTCGTGTACGTCGGGTAAAACATGCATGCATGTACTCGAGGATCCCCGCACTGTGGATCATTACGGCC